TTTGCTATATATACTTATTGTGCCTACAATTGAAATTTGATTCCTTTTTACTAAGTCAAGGGCAATAACTCTGACACAGTTCATCCGATTATTACCAATTTCGAACTGGACTGAGATCAATACATCAAACTCTCTATCGTGCCTACATTTCCATATAAAAGATTTTTTTATTTTAAATTGATTGGATTTGATACGATTCTAATGGTTCTAGACTATGTTTATTGGGCCATGTACAAATAAAGGCTCCTTTCCATTGGTTCATCCTGTCGCACCTCAAGGAGACACACACCCAAAAGTCTTTGATAATGTGCCCTTGATCACAAAAATGCTTTAATTCCACTTGCTAGAAATATCTACTATATTCTTATATGGCCCTGCATTATCCAATAAAATGTACTGGTACTGAAAAACACTTTCAGTAAAGCTTTTTTGAAATATTTTATTGATTTTTTATAATCGTTATTTAGCTTACACAACTTAACCCCATATGAAAGATTTTAATGGTTTCATGTGTTAACACCAAATTGTTGGATATTAACACGAAAAACGAGTCTAAATGTTGTGTTATAGATTGGTGTTAACACTAACATGGAATACTTATACGAGATTGAACCATCCCCATGTCAATTATATCAATTTCTTAACCTGATGACATTTTAATTGACCACCCATATTCTGGACTTTTACAACAAATCATTGTTACAAAATTTTTATACAATACTGTACCTTGTTTTATTTCTCCCAGTTGTTTAGACTGTTCAGTTCAATAGATCACTATTCCAGTACCTTTTCAAACACTATGTCATTTATAATGTATTGAAGAAAATGTAATCAATCATATAAACTAGAACCAATGAATCTAAATTTACCTATCTTATTTCATTAAATCAATATTGTATCTTAATAGTTATCTTTAAGTCAGTTTGAAACTTATAAAATCACAACACTGTACTCTTATTTATAACCATGTGTCAATCGCCATCAAGGAAGTCGGGTATCTTTCTACTTCCCACACATTCTGATCTAGTTAAATTGTTGAACAGAGATAGACTAGTTAAAGCTACTTTGAAAATAACTCAACATGGATTCAGTTAGAAATATGTGACCAAATCTCAAACAAAATATGTATGTAGTAAAAGGATCTAAGCTAGTTGGTATTACAGACAAATAAGAATGTAGGAAATCACACAAAATCTCATCAATGTCAAATGAAAACTGTAGCTTTTCCATTGTGCTCATGACTTCAAAAGCTCATTGATCAATATTGATTGAATACTTTTAGTTCTATAGAAACTGATTTTGATGCATTTTGAAAACTGTTCATCTCAAAAATAGCCAAATTCATACTCAACCATGATCTCATCAACCTTTTCATGGTAGTTTGATTTTTTAAATAGTTCAGAAAATTCATTTGATCAAATTAATGAAAAACTATTGACCAAAATCTAGAGATATGTGTCCCTAGAAAGTTTACTAAAACAAACTAGGAGCATTAATATTCAAAACTATCTAAAAGGTTTACTTGAACCTATTACATCTGGTTTGTTTTTTGGTTGGTGTTGAACCAAGGACTAAACTTCTAAAACCGAAGGTTTTTGATGTGGAAGATAGTTGAAATCGCTTTTGAAGCAATTAATGTACAATGTTTCTGATTTCTTATACAGCAAACTTTCTCTAATATTGTTTACCTTTCAAAACCGTGCTATTACACCTACAGATATATTGAACAACTCATTAATATTATTGACTATGTAATTATGATAAATATAAAGTTAGCTTGCCAGGCAAGGTAACATACACCCACTACCAGCTGTCAGAAATGATAACAAAATCTTTAGTGGCTTAATAATGAATTTGCAAATAACCTTAAAATCATCTATAAGTCAAGGCAAAAACCTGAAACAGTTCATGAAGTTATCATCAAATTCAAACATGAACAATGTCTCATCGCTGTACCGGTACATACAACGGCAATAACTCGGAAACTGTTTATCCGATTATTGCTTATTTCTAACTTGACTGAGATCTCATCATGCATATGTAGTTTCATGAAGATTGGATACAAACTGTAATCCCTATCGTGCCTACAAGCCAAATTTGACACGTTTTACTAAGTCAAGGGCAATCACTCTGAAACCATTCTTCCGATTATTACCAATTTCGTACTTGATCGAGATCACATCAATATATACGTGCATACCAAGATTCATCAAGATCAGATAAAAACTAGCCTCTATCGCGCCTGCAAGAAATGTGAAGGACGGACCGACGGACACATTTCTTTGTGGGCGTATAAAAACACCAGTCTTGTGACAATAAACTTAATTCATTTTAATATCTTGTGTTTATGTAGAATCTTTATTAAATATAATTTAGACCAACCACAGAATGGAACATGCGCAGCATTTTTGGGGGTTGAAAATATGTAAATATGCCTAGTCTTCAGAAGCACATAAATTGTATGAAAATCACATAATTCCTCAAAATAGACCTTAAACAAGAAATTAAATTGTTTATTTATTTCAATCACAAGCTTATCTTCCCCTTAAAATTTATGGATACACTTGTCGTGACGTGGATTTGAAGGCTCAAATTTCGAATTAATGTTTCTGAGACCAAGATATGATTTACTCACATATTATGCCCCTTTAAATGATTAAGTGATTGAGAGGTCCATTAAGTTAAAAAAAAAAAATCATGTGGATGTGGATGGTGTTTTGGCATTACTAGTACAGTCAAGTAACCTAATTGCGTGCTAACCTATTTTTCGTACATCTCTGGAAATGATCAATAATTGACATGTGAGACTTAGGTGACCTCCACATTTGCTTGTTTTGATAAACATGGGTTTTCTCTACAATATCAGCTAGTAGAATGAATCCAGTAGTTTCAAGCATGGTAAAATGTATTAACGCATACTTTGACAAATACAAGATTTCACTTATTACCAAATGTCAAGATTTTTTATCGGCCGAATTTCCTTATAATCCCAAGCTGTAATCGGAATTCCAAAAGTCGTTTGCTAGAATGTAGTCCAATGAACGAAGTCACGTGATAAAACTGTGGATTCCGTGTCAGCAGGAAATTCTATGAAACACAATGTGGGCCGTATTGTGATGTTGTTTCAATGACTTTCGGCAATAAATCACTCTTACATTTTACATATCTTATTTTGTCAGTCACAATTTTTTTTTTAAATCATGGTTCTTTGAAGGAATTTTCATTAGTTATGATTAATTGATATTAAAGATAAATATTAAGAACTAATAATGATACCACTGGGTATGCATACAATGTGTTTTTCTTGACTTATTTATAGATCAAACATTGTACACGAAAATAGGTGTTGAAACGGTTAATCATTTTACCAATAGCAGTAAGTATTTCACGGGTAACCGGGTCTGATTTGAGATAATTGGTTTTATAAGAAGTAAAAAGAAAGCAATTTTGACAGAAAATTCGTCACAGTATGAGTCTTTAAGCTGTTTTCTTAAGTAAATAAACATTTTTATTGATTGAATAATTGAGATTAATAAATCAAGATAGGGTATCAATTATCAAAACACTAACGAGTTGCAACAATTGTGGTCAAGATTATCAACCCTCTTTTTTGATATAAGTTCAACTAATTACTCGTTCTGGATAATCGCGTCACAATGGTCTTAGTTTGTTGCCAGTCGCTGTGTATACGGTTATGTTAATTAGGTTAATCAAATAATCATTATCAGACGTTCGGCACACGGTTCGTTGAATCTTGTTATTATTTTTATTGTATTGCGGAAAATGTAACACAATGCTTTTTAAGCATGTTCTAGTATTTTAATAAGTTTTGTTATTATTTTTATTATTTCAATCGGGTAGGAGTTGCTTAGAATAAAACAGTTATAAAGATCGTATTACTTTTTATTAACTCTAACTGGCTGTTTGTTTCTTCTTGCCTGTCAATCAGCTTCAAACTTATTAATATTCATGAGTACAGATTCATTGAGACAATAGTTTTATACCAGTTGTGGTTTTTGATTCCTTTTATAATCTTAACCAGGTAACAAACGGTTATTGCCGACGATTACCCGGTCCGTAAAATTTATCACGCCGAACAAGATGGCCGCCGAGACAAGTCACTGATATCTGAGCTCTGAGAACATTTACTAATACTACAAACCTATATATTTTAATGACTTGAAATCTAAATAATCTGGACACGCTTGTTAGAGACTATCTCTGGAGTAAATTTTGTGTAGTTCTGTGGTTAAATGTGAGTTTCATTGGGATTTATTTGGATTAGCTGCTTTCCTGTACATTTGGAATTTTAACAGTGTAATTATAATTTGTTTGTTTTACATATTTAACATTGTGATAAACCCTAATTACTTTCCTGACATGGCTGCGTTGTTATTTTTAAGTTTTTGCACATCAATTATAGACTCAGTTCTAGGAAACAAAGACGCTAGTAAATCGAGAATTGAAATCAACTTAAAAGAAAATGAGTATTTCTGCACTGTGGACTACAGGGACAGATGCTGCAGTATGGCAGTTGTGTTCAAGGAGAATAAATTCTATGAAATTGTTAAGACTATTCTTTTTGGTTTATATGGCCAATTCGAAAATAAAAATCATAACGGACATGTCTTTAAGACGCTCATAAGTAATAGGAAACTTGTTCTCCATCTATATGATAGTACCAGTACACTTCATGTACAAGGAGGTGGTTTCTCTGACTGGTACTTGGATGTATTTCCTAGTGTACAAGAACTGATAGAAAATCTCGAAAAAAAGCTTCCCACTGAAACACTGTATAAAGATTGTAATAGCTTTGAGTTATCAAAATCTACACCCGAAAAACATCCAAGACAAAGAATTCAAAACGAAAATGTAATGAGAATACCAGAAGGTCCCCAGCGTTTCCATTGACTCCTCTTTCACCCATAGATTGTTCAACGCCAATATGCTTGGCACATCCTGCTAAAGATTACACCAATTTAATTACGAAACTGCAGGAAATGGAGAGCAAAATTACTGATTTACAATCTATAGTTAAATCCTTAACAGATGGAAAACAGTTACCAACATCATCACCGTCATCATCAACATCACCCGTTTCCTTCAACAACTCAATTCCCGACCAACCAGAACCAAAACCAAATACCACCTTGATAATTGGTAGCTCCATTCTCCAACAAATTATTCCCAGTGCACTATTTAATGTGTGTGTTAAAACTTTAAGAGGTGCTGTGTTACCCGTCATTTTTCGCCACCTATCAAAATTACATATCCCTGATAATAAATCCATTATAATCCAGGCTGGCGGAAATGATGTTAATCAGAAAAGAAAAATGGCGGATATAGAAAAGGACATAAGCAATACAATTGATTACATCAAAGGTGCATCTCCAAAGACTAAAATATTCCTTTCAGAGGTATTACCAAGAGGGGATACTGATGTTTCCGAAATTAATAAGATGTATCGGACTCTTGCACAAAAAAGCAATATCTCATTAATTACAGTACATTCTAATTTTTATAAAAAGGCTAATCTACTCTGGAAGGATAGAATTCACTTGACAGATGAAGGCACCCAAAAACTATTGGAAACATATGACAAGTTTGTTTCCATTTTTAAAGGTAAACCCAGCGTTAGGTCACTCCCTAAGTGCTATAATTGTGGAGGCACTGGGCACTGGGAATTGTAATCATAAAAACCAAGTCTATTGTTATACTTGTGGTTTATGCGGTCATAAGGCAAATGCCTGTAAATACAACAAAAACTTTGATTATGGCTTCAATTACTAGGATATTGGCCAAGACTTTAGAGCCGACAATTCTTCTCTAAATACATCATACCCGTCATCTAGTCTCTCTATTGGTAATAATGTATGTTCTAATTCTTCTGTTAATGATATTCATAGGCAATTATTCATTAATCAGGATTCATCCTCCAAAATTGTAAATCATAATAAATCCAGTTCGAATATTTCATACTATGGACTTGACTCTGAATCAAGTGTACTGTCATCAGCGCAGAGTGATAATAGCTCTTCTTCGTTATCCCCAGGTAGGTCGTTTACTAATACTGTAGTATCCCCCTTCCTAACTTTAAAAAAGGGATTAAAAAATTTGTCATTTGAACATTAACCGCTTTTTCAATACTCTGGATGAAGTTAAAGAATTCATCTTAAATGACTCTAATCATATTGACATTATAGGTTTCAGTGAAACATTTCTTCACTCTGAAATAGACGACAACTCCATTCATATTCCAAATTATCAAATTGTTTGAAAAGATAGAAATAATGATGAAAACGGTGGTGGACTTCTTGTTTATGTAAAATCTTATATAAAATTTAAAAGGAGATTAGACTTAGAAGTAGGAAACATTGAAACAATATGGTTACAAATTTCACCTGATTACAATCAATCCTTTTTATTATGTTTTGTTTATAGACCACCCTCTTCCTTGATTAATTGGTATAATCTATTTGATAATCAGCTTAGTTTAGCTAGTAACCCCTTTAGTTTAATGTTCTTAACAGGGGACTTTAATATTAACTTTAAACTTGAGCTTCCATTACAATGGGATAATATTTTAACTGTTTATGGCTTTGAACAGATGATTGATACTCCTACCAGATGTACTAAAATAACTTCAACTATTATTGATCATCTATAATGCTTCAAACTCCACTTCTGAACTTCATGTCCCAGTGTATAGCCTTAGCGATCATTGCTTCCAGCAAAGTCCCAGTTTGTTAACGAAATGTCAATTCTTTTTGCTTACGAACGCCCTGCTTCGTTTTCGAATTGATTTTTTTTTTGCAGGGCGTTCGCTTTGTTTTCGTATTGATTTTTTTTTTTTTTTTTTTTTTTTCGTCTACGGCAGGCCGGTTTTCTCGGCAACGGCAACAGGTACGGGAAAACGGACTTCATGGCGTTTTGTAACTCGTGGCTAATCACAGTTTAAATGTAAAACGAAACTTTTCTGAGCAACATTACGCAACGTTGCAACAAACAGAAAATGGGCTCTAGAGGGCATGTTTATCAACCGATTTTGATCGGGTTTTCTGCATCGTTTTTCTTGTCACAAAGGACAAATGATAGCAGTTGAAAATTTTCGATTTTCGAAAATTCGTTGCATACTTTTTTTTGCCGTAATTAATCGAAAAATACTATTTCGGTTGTTATCGGACAGATTGACATGAAACTTACGTGGTGTAGACCGCCAGCATACAGACGTAAAAGTACACATTCAAATTTTTTTGATCACTTCTGGTTTCGATGTTAGTACTTCCGGTGGTATTACTTCCGGTGGAATTGAGTTATGTCAAAAATAACATATGCATTATATTACCAGTCTTAATACAAACTTATTAAACTAAAAAAATCCGCACCGGAAGTAACATGTTGGCTGCCATTTTGGTTTGCCTCATTTTGCAGAAATTGCTATTCAGAGGCCATTTTTCATCCGATTTGCATAACTTTTGTGTCAAACGATACGTTTAATGTCTGTCTACAATCCTTAGGCAGCATAATTTTGATTTTCGGTTTTGCCTTTTTTGTACGACCGGATTGTTTTTTTCAAAGTTTGAAGGCTTATATCTCATGACCTTGACCTTTGATGACCTTCATATTTACTGTGATGATAATTTGTGACCTTGTCTATCTGATGACCTTTTGACCTTTGGGGTCAGATACCTATTTCCGATTTTACAGGGGTCTAAATAGGGACCATTTTGAGCCTTGAAAGTGCTCTATCTCGGTCCCTAATAGAGATATGGCAATAATTCTTTCGATTTTGTAATGCAGAGATTCTCAGCTTTCTATAGATATATAACTTGCATACTTTACATGCAAATTCAAAACTCCATTCACTTAACATGGGGTTATTATTAGATAAATCGGCTAATTAGATTAACCTGGCTGTCAACCCCAACAGAAATCAAATTTTAAGTTGTTTTAAAGATACCCTCCCTTTTATATTTCTTAAAAATTATCTTTGTCCAGTTATGGTATAAAATTAAGCTCTCAGGTGGATTGAATCATGTCATATTTTAGTTTAAGCTCACGGCAGCATATTGAAGGTATGCGCATGCGCATTGCCAACTTTCTTATGTACTATCTGATTTTCATCAAACTTGGTATGTATGTGTATAAACAAATTCTAAATTTGATAGAAATATCGAATTTGCGAAGTGCGCATGCGCATTGCCAACTGTCTTATTTATTATCCGATTTTTATCAAACTTGGTATTTATGTGTATAAACAAATTCTAAATTTGATGGAATTATCGAATTTGCGAAGTGCGCATGCGCATTGCAAACTTTCATTTTTATTATCCGATTTTCATCAAACTTGGTATTTATGTGTATAATCAAATTCTAAATTTGATGGAATTATCGAATTTTTGTTGAGCGCATGCACATTACCAACTTTCTTATTTCTTATCCGAATTTCATCAAACTTATTCTTTATTAATTGACAAATATTCTTTTATTCCTAGTAAATATACTTTAAACTCCAGGCACTTTTGGATATTTGCATTTAGAGATGCAGAAAAGTATTTACATCAATGTAATTGCAATAGACCATCTTCGTATGTACCTGAATGTCGTAACCCGCCCTGCATCAGTACTGTTATTAGAACAGTTCTAGTTTTTTTGGTTTTTTTTCGAAATTTACACACCTTCCTGAGCTTAGACTACAATAGTTGCAGCAACCATTCAACATTCACGGACCTTAGATATAGGCGACGATGTGCATAAATATATTTTGGAACTTTTTTGTGTAACCGGAAGTGCCACAATGTGCAAAAATAGGAAATCGGCTCTAGAAGTCGCATTTCTAGGTTGATTTTCTTAGGGTTTGCACTTTTGAAATCTACTCGCAAGATCTGAAATGATAGCACTTAAAAAATTCGAAAATTTGTCGCCGACATTTTTTGGAAAAATTTTGCAATTTTTTCCAACTTTTTTATTTTTTGTCTGATTAATCTGAAATTTTGGGTGCAAAGAAAGTTCAGCAAAACAATACATTCAAATTTTTTGCATTATTTCCGGTTTAGACAGGAAATTGATTTAAACTTCCGGTTTCCATATTTTCAATTTTCTATTTTGACCTTTATTGACATTTGTTGACCTATATCTTTTGACCTGTATGATGTAGAAGCTTTAAATTTGGAACACAACATAACATTCAGAATATCAATTAACCTATGCAAAAGAAATTGAGGTGGGCGTGGTACATCCGGGTTAAATTACTCATTATCGACATTTTTGGCAAGAGACATAACTCGCAGCGTATACATTTGTTCAAAATGGAACTTTGCATACATTTACTTCATCTGCTGAGCCACGTTGTCTTAGAAGTTCGATTGTTTTAGCTTTATAGTTCAAAAAAAGTAACAGGTTTTGAAAATTCAAAATTTTAAATTTTTGACCTTGACCTATTTTGACCCTGACTTTTGTAGGATCAAAGGTCATTCACATTGGCTATCTATTTATACTTTTATATTTGCTGTCCTATCTCAACTTCCGGTTTTATAGTCGTATATATTTCAAAATTTTGATGACTTGTATCTCGTAACCTTGACCTTTGTTGACCGTCTCCTTTTCAATGTCAAATGTCATTGACCTTGGCTATCTTCTGATACTTTCATTTGTGAGGTCTGTCTACTTCCGGTATAACAATCTTCCAAAGAATCAAAACTACTCAACTTTAGACTATTCTTGCGCGTGATGTAATTATCGTAGAAGGTTGATTTTTTCAGAGTCTTTTGCATTTTGCTACATTTGCAAAGTCCCACTCTGTGCCATGTGTGGCTCTAGTTTGTACTTGATTTTCATATAAAACAGACTAAAAACAGACATATTCAAATTGAATAGAGAAAATTTAAAAATTTTAATGTAGATGCTTTTCTTGCTGATCTCTCGCGACAACCCTTCTCATGTATTGAACATATTGATGATCCCAACATTGCTATTGAAACTTGGTATTCGCTCTTTAATCATGCTCTAGATTTTCACGCTCCAAGGAGGCGCCGTAGAGTCAAGAGACATTCCCAACCACAATGGTTTAATGACGAGATTCAGGAAGCGCGAAGACTAAGAGATTACTTTAAGAAAAAGAACAAAAATTACTTCTATAAATATTGGCGAAATGAAACTAAATCTTTAATCACAAAATCAAAGGTTAATTTTATTAAAAACTCTGTGAAAGAGAAAGATGATCTGAAAAACATTTGGCAGTTTTTTAATGAAGCCAAGGGTAAAATTAATACTAATCATTATCCTGAAAATATTTTACACCGTGATACGGAATATACTGACCTTAATGACATTGCCGATGTTATGAATAATTATTTTACAAATATAACCGATGATATTAAACCAAATTATAAACCCCTTTCTTGTGAAAATATTACTTGTATTGAAAACCATGTTTCAAACAAAGTTCCACAAAATCAGTATTTTAAAATTGATTACATTAAATGTAACAACGTTCTTAATTTACTTTTGTCACTTGATTGTAAGAAATCAACTGGTCCTGATTTTATTGGTCCTAAGGTATTACGTTTATCAGCTGATTATATTACAACTTCTCTAACATATATTATTAATTTATGTATAGCCAAAAATACTTTTCCTGATATCCTGAAATATGCTAAGATCAGACCAGTTTTTAAAAAAGGAGAGAGAAACCATGTAAATAATTATAGACCTATTTCGATATTATCTGCCGTATCTAAAATATTTGAAAAACATATTACTTTGAACATTACAAATTTCTTTAACACATTTGAACTTTTCTATAAATTTCAATCTGGCTTCCGGAAACATCATTCTTGCAATACTGCACTAATAAAAATGTGTGACTCTTGGCTTAATGCAATTGATAATGGGGAAATGACAGGAGTTGTCTACTTAGATTTTAGTAAAGCTTTTGATATGTTACACCACAAATTACTGGTAGAAAAATTAAAATTATACAAATTCCATTACAGTTCTTATACATTGATTCAATCTTATTTAAATTCAAGGAAGCAAAGAGTATCTCTAGGTGACTGTCAATCCGACCTCATTTCTGTAAAATGTGGTGTGCCACAGGGGTCAAATCTTGGTCCTCTCCTCTTTCTCATTTTTATCAATGACTTACCATTTCATGTTAGAAATTGTGCTACAGACCTCTTTGCTGATGACAGTACAGTACACTTTTCTCACCATAACTTAAATTGTATTAATGCCACCCTTCAAGATGATCTGTTTAACATTAAAACCTGGTGTGAGGATAATGGGATGGTTATAAATGCTACAAAAACCAAGGCTATGTTAATTGGTTCCAATCTGCAAACAACGAATAACCCATTAGCATTAACTGTAAATAATGTACCTTATGTTACTTATACTGTATTATTAGGCCTTACTATTGACCACCATCTTGAATTTCCAAATTAAAAAACTGTCAAAAATTATAAGTTCTAAAATTTTCCTTCTCTGTCAAATTAAAAAATGCATTCCATTAAGCTTACGTAAATTGTTTTATAATAGTTATATTTTACCCTTTTTTGATTATTGTTCTACAGTTTGGGGTAACTCCAATAAAAGTAGAGGTTTTATACAAATTACAAAAACGCGCTGCAAAGAGTATTTTAGATAAAAAACACGATTCACCTTCGGCACCATTATTCAAAATTTTTAATTGGTTGACACTGTATCAACGTATTAGATATAATCGTGGCATAATGACATTCAAAATATTTCGAACTGGACACCCTGAATATTTATACAATAAATTTACGGAAAGATCAAATTTAACGGAAACCAGTATGACACTGAGATCAGAAACACTCCGAAGTTTAGACATACCGAAATGTAATAAAACTGCTATGATGAGAACATTTCAATATACAGCTTCTTTACTTTGGAATTCATAACCACAAACTGTAAAACATAATCCTTCTTTATATACATTTAAACAAGAACTGAAGAAAATTGTTCTTACTGACAATACTGATTTATTGATTCCTTAGCATTTATAACCATTTCTTTTGTTTTTCTCTCCATTTCATTTTACTTAAAAACTTATACCATCATATATATCATATAAGAAACACAGTGTTTAAATTTTTATATTTTTCACCACATCCGTGATGCATTGTAAATGTATATATGTTATATGAAATTTTCTGTGTTTTTATCATATATAGTATTATATATTTTTAGTATATAATTCGTAGTTTCGTGGGGAAACATAGTGGTTACATTTTCATATTTCCTTCCTCATTCATGTTACATTGTAAATGTTTATATGTTTTATGTTATTTTCTGTATTTTTATTCTTTCTGTAATCTTGTATATAATATGTAGTTTAGTGGGACCTATTGAAAATTAGACTTCTGTCTAAATGGGTTGCCAAATAAAGTTATTACTATTATCATTATTATTACTAACCGTTTTTCAAATCTATCATGAAATATGGGTCAAAGTGAAGGATTCATAAAGATAATCGAATCAAACCAATTTTAATTATTTGCTTAGAATAAAACAGTTATAAAGATCGTGTTACTTTTTATTAACTCTAACTGGCTGTTTGTTTCTTCTTGCCTGTCAATCAGCTTCAAGCTTATTAATATTCATGAGTACAGATTCATTGAGACAATAGTATAATACCAGTTGTGGTTTTTGATTCCTTTTATAATCTTAACCAGGTAACGAACGGTTATTGTAAAATTCACTAACCGTTTTTCAAATCTATCATGAAATATGGGTCAAAGTGAGGGATTCATAAAGTTAATCGAATCAAACCAATTTTAATTATTTAGAGAATATCTGAGGAAACGTCTCAGACATAAACAAAAAAATTGCGTGTTTTTATTTTTGACGAAATTCGATGTTGAATCCTTGTATGCACGAATATACGTTTCACCACTGTAATTGACTGTGACTTAGTGTTGCAAAAATGAAATGAATGGAGTTTTACGTCCTACTTTTCTGCACCATGTGGGCTAATGAAGACGGGCCGGCAACGCCATGCAGGGTTCAATGAGGGAAATTTTGCCAGAACAGCGGCATTAGCCTGCTCATTTTCGATTTCCAACTGTCGAAGGATCTTTAACATGCACAGCCTGTAGCACACGGGGCCTCGGTTTATTGTCCCATCCGAACGACTAGACGCTTTTTCCATGTCAGCCCCTATCAGTTGCATCACTGACAGTGGACTTAGTGTTGCAATGTATTGTTCTGGTGCACCTCTATAAAGAAAAAAATAATTCATTTGCACTTTTAGAAAAAAAAAATAGAATGTTAGGCAAAGAAGGTGTCTTATCGAACTATCACATGTTAAGTAAATATAAAAAAATAAACAACAATTACCTTCTTCTGTTTTTGATACACGACCATAGTATTGTATAATATGTTTTGGAACTCTTCACAAATGAAAAGTCATTTAAGTCTTATATAAGTGAGAGAGTTCGAACGGACCACGAACGAGGGCTCGTTCACGAGACGTTTCGTACCTAAGGTCTCTTCCAACCTTACTAAAGGGTTTATATCTTATCTTTTCTTATCGACAGTTACATTGGCCCATTGGTTTAAACCATGGGTTTTTTTTTTACACTAAGGCCCATAGATTTATGTTTTTATATATGCTATGCTATAATATATTTCAGACAATATGGGTCATAGATTTGTATTCATGTATGATAGGCAAATTATTATATATTCAGAGCTGTTTTGTATTGTTATGTATTCTATGAATGCAAACTTAAAGATAAACAAAAGAGAATGACAGAGGAACCGAGTAACCACAAATGTAGTGTTGAGGTGTATTGAGACGATACTCAATAAAAGCAGTGGCGGAGACAGGTTAACGTCCGAGAGGAGGCGATATATCTGAGATTGCCCGAATCCATAACCTAGTTATGATATTTTTGCCCGAAAAACTTGCTTGCCCCTCTGCATTGCCCAACTTGCCGCATCGTGCACAAAAACGACTTGTAAAACGAGACTAAAGGTTTCTGATAAAATCCGGAATGGCCATTTGTTTCACATGAAACGAAATATTTCAATCTGTTGTTAGGAAAATCGATGACTTTCGTATTCTGCCTTTTTACAGAGGCATACTTTTCGCTATTATGGTGACAATACTGAGTTTTAAAAATATAACCCTCACCACTCACGGTTTTAGATTCCGCAATACTTATTTTCCTGTGGATCCATCCGATGTCTGAACTGTCATTTTTTCTAAACAATCGCAGGTTCGTCTCCAATTGCCGACGGTAGTGTGGAGCCAATCAACCATAGTTTCTACCTTGTCCACCAGGACATTCTGGGACTTATCTGGAACCAGTAGTGGTTGAGCCACTGCCGAATTATAGGGCACATCTATTACGAGAATTCTAAACTTCTCCTCGCTTGATAATCTGATTTACTATTCAGAAGATTTTTACTTTCAGACATTTCAGTTGCCATTTTTTCTAGCACGTGGGTGACGTTATAGGCACGCAGTAGAGGGACATAACTCTTGCAAGTTATGACCAATATTTTATTTATTGAACTTGTCTTGTTTCGTTTTATGGATTTATGTATTTTGTATTACGGTTCTGATCGTTTGTACTTATATATGTATATGTATATATATACTTTGTATTTATTTTATTCCAGATTTTACCATAAAACTATAGTTTCGATTTCCCTAACAGGTCCAAATTATAAATAAAACAGATTAAAATATTCCGTTTCATGTGAAACAAATGGCCATTCCGGATTTTATCAGAAACCTTAAGTTTCGTTTAACAAGTAGTTTTTTGTGCAGTGAGTACGATGCGGCATGTTGGGCAATGCGGCAAAATGAACACACCGTTGTAAGACGTAGTATCACTTTAATTATTTTAATAATTACTGTGTTATTATTGTCTTTGTTCCAGACCAGATCTGGTTAACCAACTCATTTATTATGCAAGATGGACATAACTCTTGATAGCGGATCAGCAACGTGTCAATTTCTTGGCATCCTCTGACAAATTTATGCCTGTGAAATCAAAGGTCGATTTGGCCTCTCAGACTTGCATCTGTTTTCTAAAATAACTAAAAGATTTGGCCGGTCTTTCAAAGTTTTCCGTCAACCCTCGTCATATAAACCATATGTACTTCCTAAGCAATGTGCAGTCGCCCAGTGTCGTACCTGTCTATAGCAGTTCTCTAACAGAAAACCCTCTTTTATCTTTGAATATGATCCGTCGACTATGTTCAGTGTTTGAATAAATCAAACTTCAAGCTGTAATTGGATTGATCTTTGGTTTTATTTTATAACGTTCTATTTGAATGTATTCAAGTTTTTAGGTACTAGATTCTTACATCAATTTATCACAAACTTTTCATCGATCGTAGATTACTCATGTGGATTAAGATTTATAATATGAGATATAATATGATAATATATTCTTCTATTCTAACAAACATAAGGCTACCCTACGTAGCACAGCCTCACGAATCAGGACCTTACACGCTTGCATCAATTTATTTTTCCGATCGAAATTAAATCAGAAGTAGAAATGCACTGAAATTTAAGTTATCTACCGACTCTTTTTTGCAGAAATCTGACCTCATCCCGTGAAATGCACGGCACCAACAATCAAGACATAAAGATACTAGGTTCATATCAAAAGATGATGTCAAGGATTCAGGATAAAGACTCGATCATGATGTTGATCAGGTTGAGTGCTGACAACCGTTCTAAAAATATAAGCTACTATTGTGACTATTTTTAAGGTTAGGTTAAGTGCTGACAACCGTTCTAAAAATATAAAAGCTACTATTGTGACTTAGAAAACAATTTTGCATGGCACAGGTTCTAAAGCCTTCCAATTCTTGAACCTTTCTTATACCTGTGGGTAGATACGTTACTGTTAACAGACTACCCCGCAAACATATATTGCACACGGTGGTGGCTATACCAGTAGCTTTGATGAAATAGTATCACATCGGGTTTACTTTCATAGTTCTCAATACTTTGATAGAAGTAAATAACCCAATTTACCTAAGCTAAGCCCCTTAATCAGATTGAAAAAGTTTCAAATTGCTGTTTCTCTTTAGTGACTATCTCGTTACGTAATAATCTGTAGGCTATATAATTATGTCATTCCAATGTGGTACACGAGATTTAGAAAACGCATTATGTGCTGAGAATTTTCGAAAAAATGAAATAAACCCAAACCGCGATGTGGCAAAAAGAAGCTAAAGAATTATCCTTATAGAATTAAGGCATAGTAAACGATAAGCTTTATCTTTCAGATTAAAGAGGTTTAATAATCTATAAAAGCACCAGGTTTCAGATACCCTTTTTTTTATCTTCCCTATTTGAAGTCCACGGAAATAACATTTACATGGAAATAAAACATCGACCGTTAAGCGCCTTTAAATGGATTTGTTTGTTTAATGGTAGCATAAAATTGCAAATATGTGTATATATGCTATGTGGACTCTCAGGAAGGGATACTGACATGACAACCCATACGCAGTATTTGAACTTGGATCAAGAAAAACTTTGTGTACTTTATTTGGATACATCATAATTTATCATACTCTCTAAGCTACTGCGAAGTTGGTTATCAGTCTTTTTAAGGTCTTTGAATACAGTGTGTTTATGGTAAAAACGAGATGTTTCTGTGTGCCCAGGACTGATTTTGAATCACAATAGGGAACCCCCGACAGGCCTTTCTGCTGTTTTGGGTTACATTTCATTGCCAAATTTAATCGACAACACTGTGGCAGGGTGCATTTTTTAATATCGGCTGGAGTCGTGAGTTGCCTTCAAAGTTCTCAGATTTTGTAATGCAACAATCAGCTATACCTTCAGTTATTTTTACTATTGTTGAGATTTTTGACTATTTACAGTCTGAAGAGTTTCATGGTTTGTCAAGTACGAATAGGAAATTAGTTAGGTTTAAAGCTTGCTCATATTTTTTTTTCAGTTTCATGTCGAGACGACATTTTGCCGTAGGGAGGGAGTATGTGGCAGGGTTCATTTTGTTTAAAAAAGAAACTTGATTCTATTATTCTATTGTTGTCTTATCTTAATGCCCCACTACTGTTTAAAGGCATACTACGTCTTAGAATACACTCGTCCTGTGGCTAATATTTGTGTTTAATAGTGACCATTGGTTAAATAAGTATTCATCCCACACTTTATCATGTTTGAAAAAGCGACAATAATACTATAATCAAAATTTAAAAAAAAAGTGAGCAAGCGACAAGTCCGTTCAGTTTGAGAAAAAAAAGGTCTGGGTAATCAACGCTAAAACAGGAAACAATCATCTTCCGGTGTATACACACAAACTTTACCAATGATAATATTCGTTGATTAAAATTGTGTCAGTGGTGGAGTATTCATTCTAAATTATATGAATTGTTTTTTCGCGGGGTCGCTTAATCTCTAACGAGGCATTATTATTCCGTCTTCAAAATATGTCTGACAATGACGAGGTCAATTTAAGAGTAGAGGTCAAGGACGCGGGAAACCCTACTTGAGAGTTACTTCCTCTTGAAAATTAAACCGGATTTCCTAGACTCACGATTTGAAAATCGCTTAATGGACGTATTAAGCGTTTTATAATTAATTACTTGATTTTATGGATATATCGGATTATAGAGGTATTTTGATGTATAGTTAGGACACCAGGTGAGTCCACTGATGGATATATACTTTTCTTGGCCAAATTTGAGCAAAATTAAAATTTTATGTTCATCCCAAGACGTACCGGTAGTATCCCTTTAAATACGCACATAATTACTTTACACTGACCTAATACTAATGTTCTCATTATTATCCTCGTCAGAGACCTTTCCCCCACAGAAACAAAACATATTTGACATGGAGCACGTACAGAGCACCGTCCGTCTTTTAATTTCATGACAAAAATATATTACAATCATACAACCCATATAAAATAAATTATCTAAATACATACAATAAAAACAAATTTTTAACGACAACATTCACGTGCAGAGAGACGGTGACGTAGCGCTGAATGATAAACAAAGCATTCCTTTGCTATTTATAACACCTTCAAAACAGCGCTCCTGTAGGTGACTAGCAACAGGAGAAAACAATTCTAGTATAATTCTTAGTTTCTTAACTTAACTGAAATGACCTGACTGGACCTTGTCATTTTCTGTCATTGACTAGCTTAGTGAGTTTCACCACCTATCCAATCAGAAACTTTTCTTTTATCATTGTCTTTGAAGTATAAAGCAGCTTAATTTCAACCTTTTTCGAATTTAGTGATCTTGCTACTTCACCCTGTTTTGACATCCGTTATTTCCTTCAAATACCTTTACAAATATGTGTGTTTTGGGTATTTTATAGGGTAATTGTCTTCTTGGGTAACTATATTTTATATGAGAGGTGTGCAAATGTAACAATGGTATTTTAAATATTTAGTAATGGCAGCAATTTTTAAATTCTATTCTTTAGTATGTTTAAAAGCATTTATGTCAAATATATTAATAGTCTTTTGTTTAATTACCACAATGTTATTGTTATTCTCTTTCTTTATAATTAACTTCATAGGTTTTTGGTTTGATAAGAGCCTCGAGATAATATATTAACAACATAAAACCCAAACTTTAGGTTAGTGTACTGACCGGGCGTCAGTAAGATAACCAGTTCAATAAACACACATAAAATCTCACTTCTTTAATTCAAAATGAAGACAAAATGATGATAATCTATGTATTTTTACTGACAAAATGGTAAAAAGCTGAAAATAACAGAAAATAGAAATACAATTACGTCTTAAAAGGTTCAACATTCATTGTAAATCTTGCATGTCACAACTGGCGTTCCGTACGTTTTAAAACTTTCAACATTTGCCTTTACATACCAAATTACGTTAGTTTATAAGCAAAATAAGGTTTCTCAAAGCATTTAAATAAAAAAAAAGATTCAAATTAAGAAGGAAAATGATATGCCTATATCATTGCTAACTTTATAACAAAAATACCGATAGGCCTTCTGAGTCTCTAAAATAATATAATGGCTAGACACAAGCGAGAGCACATAGACCTAGGCTGGATGCATTTTAAATGGACATTTAAATTACAAAAAAGCTCTTGAAGCTACAAGAATTTATTGCTACACAAAAAGGTTTTATTTACTCACACTGTGCTAGGTCACGATTAAAAAAGGTAATGAGTTTCAAGACGTTAACAAAGCAAATGGCTAACTATTTCGAGAAGATATGACGACATTCGGGTGAAAGGGAGATACCTCCAAAATTACTAAATAATTTCGATTACATAAAAATAAAACAATTGCGGGACGGCACACTCCCCGTCTGATGTTAATGAATATCACTTTTATAGTCAAAAAATAAGAAGGCAAAAACGTCAATCATGTTTATAGTCTCTACTTAATCCTCCGGCAATATCATTTCAATATCAATATCTCTGATCATTGCTTGGGAACACCTTTGTTACAAGTCCCATCGGCCAGTAGTTACGTGCAACAGAAGCATCTTTTAAAAGAACGACATCTTCTACATATAAATTGTGACAATCCTACGACTTTGTAAAGTTTGTAAGTACTGAGATCTCCATTTAGACCAAAAAAACGTCAGCAAGGAGTTGAACACGTTTCCAGTGTGAACGAAACATATTCTTCTCATCAATGGGAA